TATAGAGGAAAAGGTCGAATGTGCAAGGGTTGAGCAGAGCTAGCCAGCCGTGAGAGGACCCCCTCAACACCATCATGTCGCTGCCCGCCGGGAATTCGGTGGCGAGTGTTACGACTTTGTTTTCGGCCAGGCTGTAGAATTTGTAAGTCATGGTGGTGGTGGCGCCAGCTTCAAATACGTGGGGCAGCATCAGGTAAGGAGATGATGAAAAAGATGAAGACTTTGGTTCCGACAAAATCACTGGAGAGTAAGAAGATGATGAAGAAGAAGAAGAAAAACATGGTCTAGTCGAAGACAAAATCATGGGACGAACGCTGTCCGAGTTCAACCTAAAGGACAAAGTGGAACGAGGATAGGAACGGGAATCAGAAATCTTATAACTAGGAAATCTTACCGACGACCCCTTTTTCCGACGGCCGAGAACAGAGGAGGAATAAGAAGAAGAAGAACAAGTCATTTGCAAAGAGAAAGCCATTGTCTCTGTGTGGAATCTACGGCCTAATTGTGTTGTGTTTCTCACTTTATAATATAAATTTGGACAATTGTTAATATTGATGATTTTCTTTCCAACTTTGATGTTACAGTAGTATCTATTAGAATTTTGGTTATAATCTTTTTACCATACTTGACAAATATGTTACTTTAATATTCTTTCGATTAGAAATTAAAAAGGCACAATTTTGTTTTGAGAGGATGAAATTTGGGGATAAAATCGGGGCTACAGAAAATTAAACTTAAGAGTTTCATCCATGGCTTCTTCCACCTCCATATGTGGGAAATGGTTAGCCGGATATGGAAAATATAAGGCCGATTCTCAGTTTTCACCTGGAATCTATCCCGCCACCGGTCGGCTCTATTTGCCGGTCGCCCGACAAATGACCACGATCTCGCTACAAAGTTCATCTTATCAGTCTCTCCGGCAGCAGCAGCTGCCCGCCAGCAGAAACGTGATACGGCTGGCATGCTGTCCTGAAATCGATTCATGTGCTGAAGTGGACTCGTTTCCAGGCGATGACTTCGTGTTGAGGGGATACTCTCACGGCTGGCAGGCTCTGTTCAACCCGGACAGCCTCGACACGTTCCTCTATAACCCTGTCTCTCGCCGCCGCATAAAGCTTCCCCCGATTGAGGACCTGCCGCGTCACCCCTCCTTTAACTATATTGGAAACATGAGGACAAGCGTGGACAAGTGTATCCTCTCATGCTCACCCGACGAGGACGAGGAGAACTGCCGGGCCGTGATTATCTTCAACGAGATTGGGGCACTGGCCTGTTGCTGCCCGGGACGCAGCGTGAATTGGATCCCACTCGGTGACAAGGATATGTTCCTGTGGTGGGATGAGGTGCCCGGCCGCCGGTGGAGGTGGTCGGGCTGCTACGAGGACTGCGTGTACTCGCCGGAGCACAAACTGGTGTTTGCCCTCACTACCAGCGGGCATCTGAACTCGTGGGACCTGTGGGACCCACTGTACCCGCTGGACCTTCTGGAACCGGTGAAGAAGGAGCTGGCTGAGCTGGACAGCAGCAGGCATGATCATTCGTTCAATAAATTCAAGTTTTACGATGGGCGGATTGACCGTCAGCCAGATGATCTGCCGGCGGAGCATCTGGCGGTGGTTGGCCGGGACATAATTGTAGTGACTCAGCACGCTGGTGGTGGTGGATTTGACGTGCATAGGTATGATCCGGAGGAAGAAGGTGGATTTAAGTGTTCGGACCTCGGTGCTTGGGCCCTCTTCATCGGCTTTCAGAGTAACGCCTTTGCTTTGCCTGTGGCAAACTTCCCTGGGCTCAAGTCCAATTCAATTTACTTCACTGATAACAGCACTCAAGTTGTCCACATTTTCGATTATGAAGAAAAGACCGTGTCGCCGAGCTATTATCCATCTAATGTTGAGCACCTTGAAAGGATTGTGAAACAAGACAAGACCGAGCTATTATCCGTCTCATGTTGAGGGATTGTTAAACAAGGGTCTATCTAAATAAATATGTACTCATTTCTTTTTCCTGAATATCATAAGATTACTGGAAAGAAAGCAACATCATACATCCATACAGTTTCTCGAGATAAAGATTAATAAATAAACACAAGAATCTTTTCAACTGCCTGAGAATGTACTTTATACAACCCATGAAAAGTCTCAGGGATCAACTCTGTACAAAGCTCATTAACCAAAATTGTAAATAATAACAATAATGATAATAATAATCACGTATATATCTCGATCCAAGTCCACACTGTCCTCCCATGAGACAATCAATAATGAATTATTCAAACGCCCAATGTACAATCTCTGCTATGTGCAGATCGACCAATGGAGCTCTAGGGGCAAACACAGCCAAGTATAGGCTCGTCAAAGTTTCATCCACTCATCGCAAGACATTCTTGAGGATTGGCATAAAAATAATCTTCCTCTTTCGGTTTATCTGGAATTTTAACGCGATTTCTTGGGGTTCCCATTCGGTTTGCATGGGCATTCTTTACTGATAATGAGAACTCGTCCCAATTCAATGATCCATTGTTATATTGATCTATTAAGCCAACAAGAACTCTTCTGTCAAGTAGAATAGTTTTCTTGAAACCCAAGTGCCTGCAAGATTTAGAAGAAAGAAGATAACGATTAATTAAAAAAAAAAAGACCCTTGAGGCTTAGTCCAATGTAAGAAAATTGGTACGGTATATACTTCGAAATGTTGTGAAAAATCACGGGGCGTATTTGTGCTTCCAAAAGAAAATTTGTTTATTTCTGTAATAAGGTTAGTTCCTGGTGATATTTCTTGCAAATCAAACTTATAGTAAGAAATACTACCACATTAACAAATCCAAATCCAAATCCAAATCTGAAAGTTTGTGCTGATGAAGGAAAACTCTACTTAAAAAGGTCCAAAATTAGAGAAATGGACAACTACATTTGCCCTGGAAAACCGGTAAACGAGCAATGTTAGTACCTTCGGTGTCCTTCAACAACTTTAGCCATATTCCCATCATAAGTCGGAACAAATACATCACTCTCCAAGGAGACTATGTAATCCAAAGCTGCCATCTGAGACGAGTGGTTCTTGAAAAACATCAAGTCTGAAGGTTCCAGCAAAGTCTCCTTTTTTACCTATTTCGCAAAACCCAATTTTAAAATGAGAAAAAGATAATCCATATATGGGCATTATCGTCTTTCAAAACTGTATACATCCCAAGAAGCAATACAATTTTACAAAATTATCCCTCAAATAGTTGCATTTTGTGAAAATAAATAAATACACAAGAGATATCAGGACCCCTTTATTTCATATATAAAAGTTCAAAACATGATAATTTTGCCAACCAGATTTGGAAATTCCTTGGCCAAGCTACTCAATCTCCTTTTCCCGCCATATATTTCGCCAGCAGCAATATATATTTGAACATTACGGTCAATCCCTAGAGCAGTCAGCACAAGAGCAGTTTCTTCGGGTGTCAAAGGACATAAACCTTCTTTCCTTTTAAAATCAGGATCGATAACTTTCTCCTTCCACCAAGGGTTGGCATATCTAGTAAAGATCAAACCTTTCAGTCGGTAAAAGTTTATATATGACTGTCGGTAACTTTTTCTTTTTCCAACTAAAGAAGAAAGTACGGTTTACCTCATTGTAGTGAGTTCATTCACTTCCTCACTGTTGCAGCCTTGAGTACAGCCAGAAAAGGACAGCATATCCATTTCATATCTAAGATGTAGGACCAAAAACGGACCTTTCTGTCTCAGCATCCTCACAACTTTCCTGCCCAATTCTTCTATTTGGGCAGTAAATTTTAAGGCACTGAAATTTACTTTACAGCGCAGTTTCTGAATATCCAGTGGCAGTCCGTTGTTAGCGAGACGGGCATCGGTTTTATTCAGATGTACAACTTTATGCTTTTTAAGAAGAGGAAGAATCTGTCAAATCAAAAAACATGACATTAATTCCATTATTTTAGCAGGAACGGGAAAAGGAAGAAAAAAGGGTTATTTATTTACATAAACTACATCTTAATTCGCCGAATTATAAAAGAACCACATATCATTAAATATTACATACAACACTTAGGGGTACCTAACAACTATATAGCCGGTAGATTTTCACAATTAGGCTGAACCTTAGGAGTAAATTCTGTAATTACAAGAGAAGAAAAGAAGAAAAAATATAAAAATTCGATGATTCCTACCTGCCGACGGTAATAAGAAATATTAGACCAACTAACGGGTGGTAACTCGTAAAACATCCCTAATTGAACTCTCCGTTTAAGTCTAGGCGGAAGTTCTTTGAGTATCCGGACCTCATCCCTTAAGGACGAAATGAAATGATCAACATCAAATATGTCCTGAAAATCACTGCAAGATGAAAAGAAAACAATATTTAGGACATGATCGGTGGAAATGCGGGCTAGGTTGCATTCTTTTCTAAAAACAATCTATTCTTAATGACCTTGAATCCGCCCAAAACGATGTTTTGTCCAATTCAGGGACAATAAGTGTAATATTAAGATATCTGGCAACAGCAACCATATCACATATCTGCACAGCAAAAGATTAACGGCAAAGAATACAACACGTTCAAAAACTCATCATAACAAATTAAACCGAAAGAAAAAGGAAAGGGAAACTCACTGCTGCACGCATCTGGTTGAGACCTCCATTGCAAGACACGACAAGATACCCATTATTCACATATATCCCTGAAAAAACATGTCAGAATTCAATTGCACCTCTTGAAGCTTGTGCATAAAAGCACGGGAAGTTAATTGGCCAAAGCATCTCATCAAGATTATCTTAATAGGCACAGACATATGAACACAAACAACTAGCATCAACAAAAGCAAAAAACCAACACAATCTGGATAATTGAAACCCAAAATCATGAAAAAAAAAACAAAAAGGTCACAAGAATCACAACCGAATATTAACAAGAAAGATCAATAAATCCGAGATAATCGAATCAGGGGCTCACTCTTTGGTGGAAAATGCTTTTTTGGCTCAATGGACGACACATTAGCCGACGAATATGATGCATCCAAATTGGGGGTGTGTGAAGAACAAGAAGGCCAACTCTTCAAAAGCTTCGGACCCCAAACTTCCCCAATGGCAACCAGTTGAATAATACAAGTCCACAACAATAGTGTAGTGATAGCCCTCAAAGTCCATAACTTCATTCTAGCACTGGACGCCCTGAAATACGAGCTCTGCTCTTTCGCCTTTTTATCCTCTAAAATATTCATGCTCAAATCCCAATTACCCTCGTTTTCTTCTCTCTTTATTGCCATCCTCCAAATTCGCACACATTCAATAAACCCACCAAAAACTTCAACCCCAAATCTGTGGAATTTCAAGAACCCTTCAATGTGGCGACGCCACATTGTCCATTTTTCACACACAAAAACACTGAAATAGCAAACTGATGATCGGATACGTGTTTTATCGAATCAAAAAATCCTGAAAAAATTAATGAATTTGATGCTACCGTTGGGGAAAACGAGGCGAATCGGAGTTTTCAACCGACATTAAATGCATTATCTACAAGAATCGGAATGCTAAAATCAAAATGTCAAAAAACTACACTAACAAAACACCATTTAATCTTGAAAAGGAAAAGGGATCAACCACGACAAGAAACTGCAACTAAAAATACAAACACCGACACACGGACGCGCTTGTTTTCTGTGTGAATATGAACCGGCGAAAGGAACAAAACAACAACTTGGAATGAGGGTTGATCGAAAACGAAAAGGAGAAGATCAATAATAGTCACAAATTCCCAAGACCCTTTTCGAAATTTTTGATCTTGGCAAAAAGGCCGAAGAGATTCCGGCGAGTGGTGAACTGGGTGGGGAGCGGTTGTTGGAGAGAGAGAGAGAGAGAGAGAGAGAGAGAGGTTTAAAGAGAGGAAAACAACTGAAAGTGACAGTAGTTACCGTCGGTGAGTAATTCTGGGTTTTTTTTTTCTTTATATTTAATTTCCTTTTTCTTTTTGGTTTCTCGTTTTTCTTCTTTTATGCACGTCATATGAGGATAAGGCGTCGATTATGGGATTTTTGTTTTGGATTTAATGAGGTTTTATATTGAGGTCAATATTTACAAAATATGCTTCCAAAATTAAATGGTTAAAAATGGTAATATAATATACTAATTATTAGAATGTGGTTAATTTATTTTTCCGAATTGATTTTTCAGTTGATTTATTTAGTACTCTTAAATATCGTATATATTGAAGCAGAATAAATATGTATATGACAAAAATTTTGATGGTTGATTTTAGTTATAATATCTATACTTATATTAAAAGCTATACTATTTACTAAATG